CTCCATTACTTTTTTAGAATGCCTAGCTACAACAATAAGATAAGATGCAAATGTAAAAGGGATCCAAATAGGGAAAGATGAAGTAAAATTCTCCCTCTTTGCAAATGACATGATCTTGTATTTAAAGAATCCCACAAATTCCAATCCCAAATTACTCAAGCTGACTCAAAACTTTAGCAAAGTAAGAGGGTATAAAATTAACCCTCAAAAATCAATGGCTTTTCTGTATGCCAACAATGAGAAGAGCGCGGCTAAAATCAGGAAAGCAACTCTATTCATAATAGTCCCACAAAATATAAAATACCTAGGAAGTAACCAAAGAAGTGAAGGACCTCTATGATGAACATTTTAAAAACCTGAAAAAGGAAATCAAAACAGAACTTATAAAGTGGAAAAACCTCTCATGCTCCTGGATTGGAAGGATCAACATCATGAAAATGGCAATACTTCCCAAGGCTATCTACAAATTCAATGGGATACCTATCAATATTCCAAACTCATTCTTCAAGGAAAGAGAAGAGGCAATCCAAAACTAAAAGACCTTGAATAGTAAAAATGATCTTTAACAGAAAGGACAGTGCTGGAGGAATATCAATACCAAATTTCAAACTCTACTACAGAGCCATAGTAATCAAAACAGCTTGGTACTGGCATAAGACCAGACCTCAGGACCAATGCAATACAATTGAAAACCCAGAAATGAACCAACAGACATACAGCCATCTAATCTTCGATAAGGGAGCTAAAAAAAATAGAATGGGAGAAAGACAGCATCTTCAGTAAATAGTGCTGGCAAAATTAGTTAATCACTTGATGAAAACTAAAGCTATATTCTTATATATCACCCTGCACCAGAATCAACTCCAAATGGATCAAAGACCTCAGAGTCAAAGCAGACACCCTGAAAACATTACAGGAAGGAATAGGAGAAACCCTAGGTCTCCTTGGCACAGGCAGAAATTTTCTTAATAGAGACCTAGAAACACAACAAATCAACGAAAGGTTAGACAAATAGGATTGCAAGAAGTTGCAGAGCTTCTGCATGGCAAAGGACATAGCTAGCAAGATCAATAGAAAGCCCACGGATTGGGAGAAAATCTTCACTAGCCATACAATGGACAAGGGTCTCATATCTAAAATATATCTGGAACTCAAAAAATAAATCTCCCAAAAACAAATCCTCAAAGAAACAACTGCCCAATAAATAAGTGGGCTAAAGACTTAAAGAGAAACTTCTCTGAAGAGGAAAGAAGGATGGCCAATAGACACATGAAGAAATGCTCAACCTCCTGAGCCATAAAAGAAATGCAAATCAAAACAACACTGAGATACCACCTCATGTCAGTTAGAATGGCTATAATCAAAAACTCTAATAACAACAGATGCTGGAGGAGATGTGGACAGAAGGGAACCCTACTGCATTGTTGGTGGGAATGTAAACTTGTTCAACCACTTTGGAAAGTAGTATGGAGGTTCCTCAAAAGACTCCACATAGAGCTCCCCTATGACCCAGCAATCCCACTTTTGGGCATTTACCCAAATGATCACAAACAAGACCATACTAAAACTATCAGCACAACTATGTTTGTTGCAACATTATTTACCATAGCTAAGATATGGAACCAACCCAGATGCCCCTCAGTAGATGAGTGGATCAAGAAAATGTGGTATATATACACAATGGAATTCTATGCCTCCATCAAAAAGAATGCCATTGCCCCATTTGTTAGGAAATGGAAAGACTTGGAAAAAATTATATTTAGTAAGCCAGGCCCAAGAAAAATAGGTAACATGTTTTCCCTTATTTGCAATAACTAATATATGTCTGAAACAAGTAGAAACGATCAGATAAGTTGATGTTAGGCAAAATGAACCCCAAGATAAGGACTCAATTTTTTTTTCTTTCTTGCAATTGTTTCTAACATATTTATAAGATGATTTCTTTGTTGCTTTGTATGTCCCTCCCCCATGGTATAACCCGTTTTCACTGTATTTGATGTTGGTATAATTTGTGGAGGAGAGGGGCAAAAACAAATTGTTTAAATAGGGATACAGGTGGACCCATTGCAACAATGAGATGTACAAGATGTTATGTCGAAAAACGAGCTTTACAACTTTGGTGGGGATGGGGGGGAATAGGGATGGGAAGGAATGGGAAGGGGAAACAAAGGAAGAGGCAACAATGCTTGATAAGAAATGTACTCATTACCTTGCCCATGTAATTGTAACCCCTCTGCATGGAATTTTAACAATAAAAAAATACTAAGGTAAAATTTTATTTTTTAGACATATTTTGGTCCTACACTCTAAGAAAGGGTACTGTCAGGTAGCCTGTGGCTGGTGAACTACCCTTATGTTTAAAGGATCCTTATACTAATCCCAAATGCTGTAGGAGTGATGAGAGCCTCAAAGGAAAATTAGAAGCAGCCCTAACATCAAGAAGGTAACCTGAGCCAGACACCAGTGGCTCACTCCTATAATCCTAGCTACTCAGGAGGCTGAGATCTGAGGATCATGGTTCAAAGCCAGCTGGAGCAGGGAAGTCCATGAGACTCTTATCTCCAATTAACCACCGGAAAACTGGAAGTGGCACTGTGGCTCAAGTGGTAGAGTGCTTGCTTTGAGTTGAAGAGTTCAGGGACAGCATCCAGGCCCAGAGTTCAAGCCCCACAACCAACAAAAACAGCAACAAAGAAGCTAGCCTGGTGCTCACAGGTAGGTTATGTTATTCTTCTGTAAGAAACCATTTCACAGAATAACAATCTCAAACAAAATTACTGTAGGATAACAAATGGAGATATAGCAAGATCTCTTCATTTTGTCTCAGCAGTGAGAAAACAAGGTCACTGTGCAACCCACATACCAACCCCTTCTAAAAAAATGCAGGTTAAAATGAGCTGATACTCTCCTTTATAGATTATAGTTTCATCTTCGTTCTTGTCTATCCTCTCTATGGATAAGATTTATTCATCTATTAATAATAAAACAGCCCCAATTTTCTGTTAGCATTCCCCAAGAGTAAGCTCCTATTTTTTAAGACACTATTCTAAATCTCACAACCAAAGACTAAATTCTGAAATATGTTCTTTTTTTTTTTTTTTTTGGTCCGGTCGTGGGCCCTGAACTCTGGGCCTGGGCGCTGTCCCTCAGCATTCCAGCTCAAGGCTAGCGCTCTACCACTTGAGCCACAACGCCACTTCTGGCTTTTTTCTTTTTTCTTATGTGGTGCTGAGGAATGGAACCCAAGGCCTCATGCATGCAAGGCAAGCGCTCTACCACTGAGCCACCTTCCCAGCCCCTGAAATATGTTCTTAACCCCTACTTCCTGATTCATTCCACTGTGTGTTCTTCATTGCTGCTGTGCAGAATAAAGAAAGCTTGTTCAACCATACATGTGCCTGACTTTGGCAGGAGACCTTTGGCACATTAGCTATAGCTAATGTATCCCGGGCTGTCCTCCAGGCAAATGGTGAAGAAACCCCTTTACATTGTAGCTTATGGACAGGAGAAATTGTATGATCCCTGAGTGACCTCTGAAATAGGAGAGTACACTCATTCCTGATTTTATTGGGGGCGGGGTCTTACCGGGGTTTGAACTCAGGGACTCACCTTTACTAGACAGACAGGCACTCTACCACCAGATCCATGGCCCCACCCTTGTTCCTGATTTGATTTTTTTTAATGCATGATAACAGTACTCCTAATTAAAAAGGGCCTAACCTTTGGGAGAAGAATCTGGGGGAGTTGAAGTTGGAGTTGTTGTTTCCTTACAACTCTGTGGCATGGAAGTGGACTTGAGATTAGAATGACATCAGTTATAAATAATAGAAGATATACTTCCTTGTACATCTTAGCATAGTGCTGGTATGCATGTGTGTGTGTGTGTGTATATATATATATATATATATATATAAATCATACATGTATAACCACATAACCAAAATAACTGTGAGATTTAATAATACATAAATAGTGCTTATCTTTGGTGAATTATAAAATGGCTTTTGGGAAGGGAGAGTGCTGGGGTTTGAACTCAGGCCCCCATGCTTACTAGTCAAACACTCTACCACTGGTGTCATGCCTCAAGCTCTTGGCTTTTAGTTTTAATTAATATATATTTTTAATATTTTGCCCATGATCTCCAATAAGCATGTTACTTTTGTAATAGAAAATCAATTTGAAAACATTAAATGCCCTGAAATTTTTATTCATTTTATTTTCAGTGAAGAAACATGAAATAAATATCTTTCCAACATGGTAAATTGTCCACATTCAATGAATGATTGAATCTACTGCAGGGAAAGTGTTATACACTGGAATCACAGTTCATACAATTACACAGAACAATATCTACAAACTTTGGAAAAATATTGCTACTAACACTTCCTTAATGAACAGGAATCTCAATACAGCTATGTTTTATTATTTATCACAGTCACATAACATACAAGTCTGTATACAAGCTATTAGTAACAATAACTGTAGTTTTTATCTGAAATTCTTAACTATATACAGATCTCTTCTGAAGCATTCAAATTTAAAATTGCACTAAATTTCTACTGCAAAAAAAAAGTCACAACAAAATGAAACCCACTAGCTAAAGGACTAAGAAAACAACAACAAACCAAAAAAGCTCCCCAAAACAGCAGTAAAACCTCGTGGGTTGGTTCCAAAAATTTTTTCTTTGCAAACGAATATTGATTTCATTTAGCATTTTTGATAATATTCACAGGCACAGATTAATAGTTACATGACAACAGGACTTCAGGATTAAACTACACAGCACTGTGTTAATGTCTTAAATCATTTATCACAGTCCACATGCCTTAAACACATTCTTCCACTAAAATGCAAGGCCAAATTCATTAGAATTTGAGTTTTTAATATTTCCGAGACATACTTTCTTACAGTACAAGAGAAATACAGAATGTAAGACTCCAATTGATTTTTTACATCTTGAGTAACTAGATAATTTCAGGGCTATCTGTATGTACTCTGCTTTAACGATCAATATCTTCCACCAATGCCTCAAGATTTTTGCAACAAGCTTTAACCTCCTCAATCGCAGCCATCCAATTATCGTAAATAATTTTGTCATAAATTGCATCATTAACTTCCCTAACTACACCCTCCTGCTGAGACTCAAGGGCATCACCCGAAAAAAACAACACTGATCTTGGAATTATGTATGTACGCAGATTGTGACCAAGTAAAAAATCTTCATTTCTATTTCCTCCCTTCAAGTTGATGCCATGAGGAGAGAAAAAATTGAAGAATGACTCCTTGGGGAAATCCTCAGTCACAGTTCGGATTGTTCCCCAGATGCGATGTTTTTGCTTCTTGGTGATGGTCTTCATAGTGACATTCTTTCCTTCATTCCAATCTATCTCACAGCCTGTGGAATACTCAATTGCGGTTCCCCTGTAGGGATGGGGATCGTAGCAATCTAGCCTCGACTTCAGCACGTAGGTTTTGGTCAGCAGCTCATTTTTGAAATATTCATTGGGCTTGAAGTGGAATTCTAGTGTAAAACTCAGCGGCTCACCAGGATCTGAAAGCTTTACTTTAATATCGGTCAGGAGCTTGAGAATAGGCTCGTCATATTTCTTAATCCAAGGAGTGAGGGCTTCAACGTTTTTTAAAACAGTCAGCCAAAAATCTGGAATTCCCTTAGGATCCTCTTTATTCTCTTCTCCTCCAGTGGCCGCAGCGCCACTAGCTTCCTCCTCCTCTTCCTCCTCCTCCTCCTCTTCTTCAATGGCATAGTCATAATAATAGTCCTCATAATCCTCCTCTTCATTTACAAACTCATGTACCATGGCTTCCTCATGATAAGGCATGTCTTCGCTATCATCCGTTTCTTCCTCCTCTTCTTCCTCCTCGTTTTCGGGGTCTAATTTATATTTGCATTCGTCTTCTGTCGGCTCATAGATTGCATTGATGATCTGACGTCTTTTTTCCAGTAAAGGTTGATATATTTCAGCAAACTTTCTTTCAATGTCATGAAATTCCCTCAGGAATTTTGATTCTAAATTGGCCGCTCGAGTTTGAAGCTTTTTAAGGGCCAGCACCCGGTACTTCACTTTCACAGGGAGACTTTCAACAAAGTCTGTATCTAAAAGGTAACCAATGAGTCCTTTGGGGCGATCTGGTTCTGCCTTCTCCGAATCTCCACCTTTCTCCCCATCTTTCTCGGACTCGGACTCGGACCCGGCAGCAGTGCCTTCACTTTTCTCCCCTTCTTTCCCAAGCCCAGCTGTGGCTCCTTCAAAGTGCTCCCCATCATCTCCAGGCCCAGCGGCAGGCTCTTCACCGCCCGGCACTAGTTCCCCGGATCCCTCCATCATTACCATGCTGTCAACCTCTTCCGGACTGCATTCGGACAGTACGCTGGGTTCAGCTAACTCAGCCATTTTTTCCAACCGCTCGCCTAAGGTGACTCCGCGAAATCAGGAAACCTGACACTCACCAAAATATCCGAGGCAGATGCGGCCCGGGCAGCGGTGGCTGGAGCTGAGCTGAGCGTGGGAACAGGTTGCCGTAGGGCTAATCCGCAGTGCTGAGGCGGAGAGCTGCAACTGGGGAACTGGAGCGAGCAGTGGTGGGCCGGGTGGGGATGGCGCTGGCGATGGCTCCTGTGATGGTCCTGAAGGAGTGCACCAAACACTACAGAGAGCCGCAGCGGGCAGCTGCTAGCAGCTACTGCAGCCAGGAGAGCAAAAGAAAAAACATTAAAAAAAAAAAAAACCCTCAAAGCCGCAATGTGATTGTGTAGCTGTCTCTTGGATAAATTTTCTTGGTGCATCTAGCTTGCTGCGTCACCTCATTTTCCCTCCCACAACTCTGCTCTAATCTCATTTGCCAGGATGCGATGATTGACAAATGCAGAGCCAGTAAATTAAGAGCTCTATCAAATTGCCAGCTCTACTCACCTTCCCAAGTTCTCTAATATGGCTGATTCACTCCCAATCCCCAATCATCCTCCATCCCATCTCCCTATGGCGTTTTCTAGAAACTCACTGTTTAATATTCATTGCATTTCTCCAACTGACATACTTTTATAATTTCAAAAACGCTAAGAGAAAATAGTGACTAAAAGCATGCTAGGAAGTGGAAGAAAATAAAGCACCCACGTGTCCTACATCCTTCTGATTATTAACCTGGATCTCTGGAGAGGACAGCAGTGAGTGGTAGAGGAAATTACAAACAGGTCCAAAAACGTTTAAAAATACCAAAACAATTATCCATGATGAACTTTGGATGATGTAACTGCCAGTGATTTAGGCAATCTGTATTCTGTTTTTCTTTCGACAAGGTATATGATGTGAAATTGGAAAATTTTCATTTCCTATGAGAGAAGGAAGAGGTGAGACACAAGTGAAGGTGAAGAGCCTCTGAGTAAAAGCCAATACAATGGGTCCACCTAAGTGACTGATGAGCCCATGAAAGAGCCAACCAGTCGCCTGGCTTATCAATAAATAAACCCAGTCTTAAACTGACTCCATTTCTTCTTTCTTCATACTTGCTCTAAAAGACATGAGAAATTTTAAGAGAAAATCCAAGACTATCAATATTACTGTGCAATAATAGTTAGAAGAATCATCTATGTAGGAATCATTGGTAATGTTTATTTTCTTTATATTTACCATGATAATCGTGTGTGTGTGTGTGTGTGTGTGGTGGGTGTGCATGTACTTTTGTGCTAGTACTGGGGCTTGAACTCAAGGCCTGAACACTATCCATTAGCTTTTCCACTCAAAACTAGCATCTACTATTTGAAACACGCCTCCATTTCCAGCTTTGTGCTGGTTAATTGGAGATAAAAATCTCATGGACTTTCCTGCCCAGGCTGGCTTCAAACAGCAATCATCAAATCTTAGTGTCCTGAGTACCTAGGAATACAGGCGTGGGGCACTACTGCTGGGCTGCTGGTCATTTATTAATTAAACAAAGTTAATACCTTTAAGGGTCTATTCTTGATTTTCAATCTTAAAGAATAGTTTTTATTGTTCTACTAACACACAGATGAACTGTTACATACTACATTTATTTCTAGATTATGTCAGGTTATAGATTCATTTATTTATTTTCATGTAGTGCAAGCCATTAGCAATCTAGTAGTTCTATAGTTACAAGTCTTGTTACTCAAAGTTTCCCTTTCCTGGGGAAAGGGAAACATTCCCTGAATGCAACATTCCCTGCAACATTCCCTGAATCATACATGCTCATTTGTGGACTTTGGGATCCTTTTCTTTCAAAGTTGTTTGAACATATATTTGTTTTTAGGCTGAGGATTTTTTAAAATAAAACTTGGGATAGACTAGTTAATAAACATTTTCTTATCAGTATACCCTAATGTCCTTAAATACAATCCAACAATATAATGTTAAAGTAAAATTCATTGCTACTTAAACATTTTGTGCAGTTAGACTAAACATACTATCAAGGATAAGGAGAAAGGGGCTGGGAAGGTGACTCAGTGGTAGAGCGCTTGCTTGCCTTGCATGCCTGAGGCCCTGGGTTCAATTCCTCAGCACCACATAAGCAAAAAGAAAATAGCCAGAAGTGGCGCTGTGGCTCAAGTGGTAGAACGCTAGCCTTCAGCTGAAGAGCTGAGGGATAACGCCAGGCCCAGAGTTCAGGCCCCACTACCGGACCCCCCAAAAAAAGGATAAGGGGCAAGGATCTTCACTTATTTTCTCTGCTTTTCCCCCCAGTACTGAGGATTGAACCAAGAGCCTTGTGCATGATAGACACATCTTCTCCCAGTGAGCTACATTCCTGGATAGTTTTTATGCATATTTTACCATAATGAAACAAAAAAGACATAAAACAGTATGATAAAAATGCCAACAGGGCTGGGAAGGCAGCTCAGTGGTAGAGTGCTTGCCTTGCATGCATGAGGCCCTGGGTTCGATTCCTCAGCACCACATAAGCAAAAAGAAAAAAGCTGGAAGTGGCACT